ATATAAGGGTTTTATTCGCCTTAGTACTTCACCTTGGGGAGCACCAGCTCTCTTTGCTAAAAAGAAAGATGGAGCATTGCGACTTTGTATCGATTACTAGAAGTTGAACGGGGTGACTGTTAAAAATAAGCACCCAATGCCTTGTATAGATGATCTGTTCGATTAGTTGAAGGGGTCTTGTTGATTCTCTAAGATAGACTTGAGATCGGGTTATCACCACTTGAGGGTAAGGGAGGAGGATATCCTGAAGACGGCATTCCGTGCGCGGTATGGCCATTATGAGTTTCTAGTAATGCCTTTTGGGTTGACCGATGCACCGCCTATATTTATGGATTTGATGAATCGGATCTTCCGTGAGTTCTTTGATCATTTTGTGGTCGTCTTTGTGGACGACATTTTGATTTACTCACCCTTTAAGGAGGAGCACGAGGAACACTTGCGAGTGGTGCTTGAATTGCTTAGAGCTCACAAGCTGTATGCTAAGTTTAGGAAGTGTGAGTTTTAGCTTAAAGAGGTTAAGTTCTTAGGCCATGTGGTATCCGGGGAAGGGGTGACTGTAGATTTATCCAAGATAGAGGCAGTGCGAGATTGGGTGCAACCTAAGAATGCTTTTGAGATTTGTAGTTTCCTGGGGTTGGCCGAGTATTATTGGAGATTTGTGAGGGATTTCTCTAGATTAGCTTCACCGTTAACTAGACTGACGAGGGAGTTAAGTTTATGTGGAATGAGACATGTGAGAAATCATTTCAAGAGCTTAAGGTTGGACTTACCACTGCTCTAGTCTTGATTATTTCGGAGAGGTGTTTGGGTTATTCAATTTATTGTGATGCTTCAAGAGAATGTTTAGGTTGCGTTTTGATGCAAGAGGGGAAGGTAGTAGGTAGCCTATGGCTCACGACAGTTGAAAACACATGAGAGAAACTACTCTACTCACGACCTAGAGTTAGCGGTGGTGATCTTTGCCTTGAAAATTTGGAGACACTATCTGTATGGTGCGAGGTTTGAGGTGTTCTTCGATCACAAGAGTCTAAAATATATGTTTACACAAAAGGATTTGAATTTGAGGCAGAGGAGGTGGATGGAGTTCATTGAGAATTATGATTTTGAGTTGCATTATCACCTGGGAAAGGCCAATGTTGTAGCTGACGCATTGAGTAGGAAATCTATTAGCAGTTTGGCTAGTATTGCCATTTGGGAGTGGGAGATGTTAGGTGCTCTTGGGGAGTTTGACATGCATCTTGGCAAGTTCGTTGAATCTGCGGCTTTGTTTTCGGTAGTTGCCCAACCTACACTTGTGAACCGAGTGATGGAGGCACAGAGGGGTGACCTTGAGGTGGAATCCCTTTGGGAGAAGATCTCCAATGGGAAAGTGGAGAGGGGCTTGGATGTGTATCCCGACCAGGGTATGAGATACCGAGACCGTTTGTTTTTGCTAAAGTCTTACCGAGAGGAAGTACTCCGAGAATTTCATCATTCGCGCCTTGCGGTGCATCTGAGAGGCACAAAGATGTATCATGACCTGAGTCGCCAGTTTTGGTGGGGAGGTATGAAAAAGGATGTGGCTGTGTTTGTGTCAAAGTGCCTTCCTTGACAACAAGTGAAGGCCGCATACCAGAGGCCAGTGGGTTTGTTGCAACCCTTGCCTATAGCTGAGTGGAAGTGGGAACATGTCACAATGGATTTTGCTGTGGGTCTTTCGAGGACTCAATGGGGTAGTGATGTCATTTGGGTGGTAGTTGGCCGGTTAATCAAGTCTGCGCATTTTATACCAAGTCTGGTAGATGGAATAGTTCATTGTTTGGTTCAGAAATTTTGCATCGGACTGTGAGTCCCTCCGGACTAATAGTCCCCCATATATGGGACAACTCTATCCCAAGGGGGTGGGACAGAAAGCTCAGGATTGAGATTATCCTGAGTTTATTAAAATAAAATTAAAATCTCAATTAAAATAAAAAATAAAATTAAAATTTTTATAATTTTAGTAAATTAAAAATAAAAATAAAATTTTAATTTATTTAATTAAAAATAAAATTAAAAGTTCAATTTATCTAATTAAAAATAAAATTAAAAGTTCAATTTATTCAATTTATTTAATTAAAAATAAAATTAAAAGTTCAATTTATTTAAAAGTTCAAATTAAAATAAAACTAAAAAATCTCAACTAAAAATTAAAATAAATTTATATAACTTTTATTGATGCTCCATTTATTTAATTTTTTAAAAGTTCTAGTAAAAAAATTAAATAAAATAGGATGCACATCGGATTCAATAGAATAATCCAATTCAAACATCTAATTCTATGACTAAACAAATAAATGATTCAATAGAATAGCTCAATCCCGACATCTAATCCCATGACTAAACAAATATAGGATATAAATCTAATCCAACAAAATAGTCCGGGGACAATATATCTTAGTACTAACAATTCGATAGATTAAAAAAAAAAAAAGTTATAACTAAACATCATATGTATAAATCTAATCCAACAAAATAGTCCGGGGACAATATATCTTAGTACTAACAATCCGATAGATTAAAAAAAAAAAAGTTATAACTAAACATCATATGAGGTATAACTAAACAATTCTTGAATCATACTCAAAATTTTATCATAATCAACATCACAATATATTATAAAATTTTCTCAATTTCAATATTTCTTATGGTATTAACATTTGGGGATAATTACATTTAACTGAGAAGCGGAGAAATTTTTTTTTTTTTTATACTACAAACCATTGGACAATCCACTTTAAATGTAATAGGGGCGAGAGGAATGAAGCGGATTACAAATCAGTCAAATTTACCCATTGAATTGACCGAACTACCCCCTCAATAGCGTCCCCGCCACTACCAAGCCCTCCCCTTCATTCTCATGCCCTGGTCTCCCAATCACTTCTGCCACCCCCAACCTTTCTCTAATCCTTCCTCGCCTTCCACATTGACCACTGAAGATGCTCTCGTTTATTTTCAAAAGTAGAATGAAAATGATTCATTGTGAGAGAATTAATAGTAAGATAATTGTTAGTAAGAAGATTAAGTAAAATTGTGTTTGTTTTGATAATAGTTGTTAATGTAAAGATTGATAAATTATTTTTATATAAAATAATAAAACAAATAAAAAATTACAAAAACATTAAAACATTAATGTTAAAAAAAATGCCAAATATGTAAAAAAAAAAATTAAAAAATTTCTAGAAAAAAATAAAGCAAATAAAATAATAATTTTTACCTAACAAAAAATAAAAAAAATTAAACATTAATGTAAAAAAAAATGCCCAACACGTAAAAAATAAAAAATTAAAAAATAGACTGGCAGACTAATTGCTAATACCAAATCCCACGAGCCCATCCTAATCCCCTCCTCAAAGGGATTCGTAGTCCGGAGGGGATTACGAATCCCCTTTCCATCTCTCAAAACAAACATAATATTAGTGGGTCCCACCTCACTATGAATCCCAATTCTCTTCTTATAACCCAAAACAAACGGACCTAAAAGTGTTGGTTACTAAAACTTTTGACCAGTTTTTCACACCTATTTTATTAGATAAAATACACACTTCAATTGGTATGCATCATGCCATTTTTCCCCCCATTAATTCCCATTTTCATTTAGTAATGGTCACATCTAATAACTTTAATAACTATTAAATAATTTTTCTTATTCATCAAAATATTTAAATTGTTAATTAATTTTCTTCATTCATCAAACTATTCAACAATTTTAATATAAAATTGCAAATGTGATGTGCCTAACCATATTGCTATTATATACATATAGAATGGATTGGGTTAGTCTCTAGTCCACGGCTCAATCCAAACCGTTGGACCCATCAAAATTTTTAATGATTATCCGATCTATTCATTTTGTAAGTTTGTGTTAAATTATTTAAAAAAAAATAAAATAAAACAAATTGATCCATAAAACGTAACCACACGATTTTACCACATTTATGTTATTTTGAAATAAATTGTTTTTATTTTTAAACAAACATGATGAAACCACGTGATTACATTTATCAAATCAATATGATTTTTGTATAAATTATACTTTACCCTCTTAAGTTTTAAAATTTTTCACTTTAGCCCTAAAAATATTTTTTTCTCAACGTTGGCTCTTACATTTGAATTTTTTCTCAATTTACTCCCACACCAAACTTCATTCTAATTTTGGATGGAATTCCACATTAGCAACCATGTGTCGCCATGTGAACAGCCATGTGGCACTAAATGGATAGTGTCATGATCTGAACCCGTCCCTATGGATTAAGGTCATAACCGGCCAATAATCATTGGATTACCTACGACCTCATTCCTTTTTAAACATGTTTCAGAAGAAATAAAGGGACCAAAACGGAAGCAGACTTAAAAATTTTGTCCAATGAGCTGTGCTTATATGGCATAGCAAGATTATTCCAAAAACATTTTATAATAACTCACACATATAGGCAGACTTAACATTTTGCACATGCAGAAACTTCAAACATGTAGTCAGCCAAACAAAAGCTTATATACATGGGTGATCCAACATATTCAAAAAAGTAGCAAGAACAGTAAACAAAAGAACAAAAATAAAGTCTCGTGCGTGAGATGTTCGGGCTGACTCCACAAAACTTGACTTCCTCTCACATTCTTCACTGAGGTTGGGTTTGGACATCTCTTTGCTCACCTACATACATAAGTGAGAGTGAGCGAAAGCCCAGTGAATAATATCAAAATAAAGAAGTCACATGAATGAAATTCGTAACAGATATATCAAACGGCCTTAGGCCCATTCATATTTCTATCTAATACATCAAACGGCCTCAATCCTAAACATATCAAATGGCCTTTGGCCCATTATATCAAACGGCCTTGGGCCCAATTTGTAACGCCCCAAAAAATATTGATATCTGACATATCTAGATTAACTCATAGGCATAATCTAAATCTCAGTACTTTCCATTATTACATACAAGAACATTGAATAATATGGACATTTCAATAGTCAACATTCATACTAAATCACCATTTTTCTATTGACAATATCCAACATGAAATTTCACAAAAGAGAGACCACTAGCATTAATACATTCATCATCCTTAAGATATGAGTTTATAGCATGTGATAATAACAAATTAAAGCAACAAAATACAAATTTATACCTTAACGGCTACAAGTTCCAAGGCTTTGCCCGGTTACAACAAAATGGTTTTCAAACCCATACATAGATAGCCCTTGGCTTGCAAAGAAAGAAAACAAATAAATAATTGAGCCATATGCTCCAAAAGATCCTCCACGCCTTCACTTTGGTGGAGGCACACCACAATCACCTGAAAAATGGTTTCCACTAAGGAATGAGCATAAAGCCCAGCAGAGATAATCTAAATAAAGTGCACGCCATTTAATAATATCATGAGGTGCAATGCATATGAGATGCTAATGCCAAAAATCATAGGTTTTCTCATTTCGAAATGCTCATGCCATGCACTTGGTCAAAAACATAACCAATTCAATTATCCATTTCATAGAACAAGAGGCGGTAAATACGGCACTGGTAATCCCTAGGCTGGTGTCTGCAAGTAGGCATAACTAGCACTACCAAAACCCCACTTTACCGGTGACTAACCGGAAGGGACGTGGTCCTCATTCGCGCGTGTTTTCGGTCTTTCACCCCCCGGACACTTAGGCCAACTTAATCAATTCCAAACATATTTACCCCATAATTCAACACATTTCAAATATTCCCAATGAATCAATTTGAAACAAAACCAATTTCTCAAATCCAATGCGAGAATTTAATCATCAGATTATGTAATGTTCAATGCCATGCATGAATTTGAAAATATTTCAATTTACCTATTCCACATGCAACTTCTATAATAATCGATACAACCTTCCACGGTTGCCTAAACAATTGTCTCTATACAAAATATAAATTTCAAGAGATAAATATAATTCATAATCTCATATTTTCAATCATTTCAACATAGGAGTAACAATCACATGTTCAATCTCCTCTTTTCCAACTCCGTCAAGAATCATAATATTCTTAAAAAAAAAAAAAAAAAAAAATAATTATCTTCTATTTTTATTCAAACTCAAGAATTCATCAAAATTTTTTGTAATGCCAAAAATAACATACGTTTCTTTCAACAATTCTCAATACCTCAACATAATAATATTTTCATCTTTCTCAAAAGTTCAATATTTTCAAATTTAACAATTTTCATAAGAAACCTCAATGGTTTTCAATATTCCCAACAACATTCTCATAAATCCCATCCCTATAAACATCCATTTTCAAATTCTCATTTGTTTAAATGAACATATATTTTTAACTCTTGTAAGCTTTTCACAAACTCATCCCAAAAATCTAAATCTCAACATTTAAATTTCTAGGTTTTATGAAAATTTGGGGATTTCTCAAAAATAAAATAAAATACATTCCTTAACATCCATGAGTCATAAAAAAAAAAAAAAACCTCAACTAGCAATTGATTTTCAAAAAAAGTTGAGAACTTCCCAATTTTTATACATTTAATATACCATTAATAAAACCCTAATCTTTTCAAATATCACACTATCAAAATAACACATAATAAAGCTAAAATACAGACACAATGTTTAGAAAATCCCTACCTCAAAACTTAGGAGAGAAAATGAATTGAAACTCCAAAATTCGACGTTGCTGAAATTCAATCTCCACCGATCAAAACAAAATCCTTGAAGTGTTCTTCAATTTGACCTTAAGAACTACGGTCAAATACTCAATGGATCTTGCTAGATCAAGAAAAAAATTAAGGGTTTGTGGTAGTGTTTAGAGAAAGATGAGAGAAATGAGGGAGCAGAAAGAAAGAGAGAGAGAGAGAGAGAGAGAGAGAGAGAGAGAGAGAGTGAGATAACCGAGAGAGAGAGAGAGGACATGTTCTCTGCCAAAAAAAAGAAACAAATAAAAGTAAGGGAAGGGGGAGCTCCCCCCCACCCCCCACCCCCACGTGGCTGCTCCAACGTTTTTTTTTTAATTTTTAAAATCAATACATTTCTATCTATACATATATATCTAGATATTTATATATATATATATATATATCAATTAAAAATACATTTCAACATCATTATAATATTTTGTAATATAAATGACAACATTGATGTAGTATTTTATCACCACAAAATATATTTCGTTTGATGATACACACTATAAATATTTGTAACTCTCTTAAGATTATAAAATAAATAATAATAATAACAACAATAATACATGGTCACAAACGGGTCATGATTCAATCAATTGGGTCCAAAATGAATGGAGTTTAATAATTTAAAATAAATCTCCAACTAAGATTAAAGTATAAATCAATTTTAAAAGACTTAAAATGGTCCCCACCATTCACATAATTAAGTATGAACAAAAATGATTAAGTATGGGCTAATCGAATGAATCCCAAAAATTAAATTTATATCTCATTTATTACTCAAGACCCAAGAATTACTGTAACTAAATCTAAAAATATTTGCCAAACGAGCCTTACAAAGTCGAAATCAAGAAATAATATAATTTATTTTCACCAATTTAAATAGAGTGGTTCACGACAACACAACTATAATAATAATAACTAAACAATCAAACGATTTGGAAATCCATACCAATCCAACTCCAATCAATACCCGAACCCATAAACATATTAAAAAAAAATTTACTAAACAGATATTGAAAGGAATAATAAACAAATAAATTCAATTGATTCAACTCGTTACACAATTCATTCTCATCAAACGGCCTTGGGCCCAATTCATTCATGTCAAATGGCCTCGGGCCCAATTCATTCATGTCAAACGATCTTTGGCCCAATCATTCATGTTAAACGGCCTTGGGGCCTAATTCATTCATCTCAAACGGCCTTTGGCCCAATCATTCATGTCAAACGGCCTCGGGCCCAATTCATTCATGTCAAACGATCTTTGGCTCAATCATTCATGTTAAACGGCCTCGGGGCCTAATTCATTCATCTCAAACGGCCTTTGGCCTAATCATTCATGTCAAACGGCCTTGGGCCCAATTCATTCATTTTAGATGGCCTTTGGCCCAATCATTCATCTCAAACGGCCTTAGGCCCCATTCATTCATGTCATATGGCCTCAGGCCCAATTCATTCATGTTTATGCGTATTTCATACTTGAGATCATAATTATATCACAATCGCCAATGACTTTATTCAATCATTGGCATAACGAATATTCGTTCAAAATTCAAATTAACAAATCTGTGAACCTTATACAGAAGTGAGCATTTGGAAAGTAGCATACTTAAAATATCCTTACTAAGATATTACTCATAGTGTCCTGCTGATGGATTTGCCCTTGCGCTTGACCCTACACATTTCATAACATATTGGGTCACAAGCGATTCAATCCGTTCTTAACTTATTTATTTCTCTTAGGCCTCTTTCTTATCCTTGAGTTCATTTATATTACTCAATGCATGTTTAAGAGTGCTTAGAAATGAAAGAGAACGAAAAACAAAACATAAAACAACTTTGCAAGATTTATAAAACAAGACTCTCCACTCGAGCGTAGCTTTGGTTGCTTGAGCGGCCTACAAAGCTCTGTAAAAGTACTGGTTTCATGAATTTTACGCTCGAGCGAGATTTTTGATGCTTGAGCGAGGAGTCTTGCAAAACAGGGTTCGCTCGAGCGTAAGGTCTGCCGTTCGAGCCACTGTGCACATCTCTGCAAAACTTTTTGGAGCTAAATTTTCACGCTCGAGCGAGACTTTCCTCGCTCGAGCTGACTGGTCGAATTCTGGGTTTTCCAGCAAGCTATTTGAGCTTCAAAACACAACCCCAAATGCTCCAAAGTTTGCAAATTAATGCCAAAACATAGAAAAACATTGAGTACCATAAAAACTTAGGTAATTTGAAACCAATTATCCAAAATCGTGGTCCATCTCCAAAATCATTCCAAATTCTTCTTTGCCAATTTCAAAACTTATGCATTCAAGCTTCATACCTTCATGAATCATGCATGCATGTTAATTATTGACAGCAATTCTACTTCGAATGGCACAAATGATGTTCAAAATCATGAAGCTCATCAAAATTATGCATGCATGTAAACTTTGGTGCACAAATCTTCATGTTTAACATGCCTTATGCTAGATCATGCAATTTCATGGAAATTCATGGCAATTCTATACATGCACGAACATATGGACCTCAAATTCTTCATATCGTCCTTGAATTCACTCAACTATAGATTTACACTCATGGTTTTGAGTTCAATTACTCAGTTAGAAGCTCCAATCTTCCAAATTCTAGCTAGTTCTTGAGTGAATCTTCTCAATCTCCAAGCTTCCTATTAAATTCTCATACTTTACCTCTACTCTCTCTCTGGAACCATCCCTTCCTCTCTCTAGAGTGTATTTCATATTTTGAGCTCAAAAATGGTGAGCTTAAGTGTAAATAGGCCCATATATATGCTTGCCTAATCAACCTTGATTAAGGCTAATTAATTGTGCCTATTTCAATCAATTTAATCTCATTATTTCGGTCCGAATCAATTTTTAATTAAATTTCACCATAGGCTCTAAAAATCACGCTAATCACAATGGTGCAGACAATTTCAGTTTTCTGTAACCTCTACGGTCTTCAATTTTCAAATTATAGCAGTAAGTTGAATAGATTTTCCTACGGTGAACAAGTAGAAGTTCGAAAACACATATACTCATATAAATGGCACTCAAAATCATATTAAGCACCTAATCATGATCATAAGTAAGATTAATTAACATAACACAAGACATGGTTATCACAATCTTCTCCCCTTTAGGAAGTTTGGTCCTCCAAACTTATTTTACCTCCGTCCAGAAATAAATGTGGATAGTTTAGCCGTATCTCATCATCCTTTTCCCATGTAGTGTCCTTCCCATAGTGTTCTTTCCATTCTACCTTCACTATTGGGATGGCCTTCTTTCTCAATTGTTTCACTTGCCAGTTAATGATTCGTTCTGGCCATTCTTCATATTCCATATTCTCATCAAGTGCTATCTGGTGGTAGTCAATCACATGAAACGGATCTCGAAGAAAACCCCTCTACATCGATATGTGGAACACATTGTGCATTTGTTTGAATCTCGGTGGCAAAGCAACTCTATAAGCAATTAGACCAAGCCTTTCCAGAATTTGAAACGGCCCAATATAGTAGGGTGACAATTTGTCCTTTTACCAAACTCAACTGGCCTTTTATTGGAATCACACGAATAAATATGTGATCGTGAAGCTCATATTCAAGAGGTCATCTTCGAACATCCGCATAATTCTTTTGCCGGCTCTGTGCTGTCTTGAGCCTTTGTTGGATGATTTTAATTTTCTCCGAAGTGTTTTGCACAATTTCGGGCCCAAGTAAAGCTCTATCTCTGACTTCTGTCTAACAAATTGGCAATCTACACTTCCTTTCATACAACGCTTCGTATGGTGCCATACTGATGCTGGAAACTGTTATTGTAGGCAAATTTAGCTAGTGGCAAATAATCTTCCCAGCTCCCTTGAAAATCTAAAGCACACATTCTGAGCATGCCTTCCAAGGTCTGTATGGTCCGTTCTGATTGCCCGTCTATTTGTGGATGGTATGTGGTACTGAATCTCAGTTCTGTTCCCATTGCCCTTTGTAGGATTTTCCACAATCTAGATACAAATTTCAGATCTTTATCTGATACAATAGATACCGGAACTCCGTGTAAACAAACAATCTCGTCAACATATATAGTGGCTAATCGATAAGCATCAAATGTAGTTCTAACAAGCAAAAAATGTGTAGATTTAGTCAATCTATCAATTACAATCCAAATAGAATCCATACATCTAGGAGTTTGAGGTAGACTGATAATGAAGTCTATGGTCACATGCTCCCACTTCCATTTTGGAATAGGGAGAGGTTAAAGTAGATCGCCTGGTTTCTGATGCTTAGCTTTAACTTGTTGACATTGAAGGCACTTAGACACATACTCCATGATTTCCTTCTTCGTTTTGGGCCACCAATAGCTTTGCTTCAAGTCCCAATACATTTTGTTGTTACCCGAATGCATAGCAAACATCGACTTGTGACCTTCATCTAGGATTATCGTCTTTAATTCAGGAATGTTTGGGACACACATTCGGTTTTGAAATCTCAACACTTCACCATCAATGTTGAATTCTGATTTCGGATTTGCCTCAAACTCATCAATTATTTCCTTGAGGAACTCATCCTCTTTTTGCCTTTGCTTAACTTCATTAACTATTGCTGGCTCAGCTGAAATGGCGGCTATCAACCCAGTTTGTCCGTGTAACACAACTTCAATGTTGGTTCTCTCAAAATCTTACAAGATTTCATTCTGTTCAGTAAGTAAGCAAGCTAAACTCCCTGTCGATTTTTTGCTCAAGGCATCAGCAACAGTATTGGCTTTCCTGGAGTGATACTGAATCTGAAGATCATAATCTTTTATTAGTTCAAGCCATCTTCTTTGCCGCATATTCAACTCTTTCTGAGTAAAAAAGTACTTAAAACTTTTGTGATCCATGTAGACTTCGCATTTTTCCCCATACAAGTAATGCTGCCAGATTTTCAAGGCAAATACAACTGCGGCCAGTTCCAGGTCATGTGTTGGGTAGTTCTTCTCATGTGGTCTTAATTGTCGGGAAGCATAAGCAATTACCCGTCCTTCTTGCATGAATACACATCATAGACCTTTATAAGATGCATCGCTATAAATCACAGAGTTTTCCGTACCTGTGGGCAATGTTAGCACTGGTGTAAAAGTCAATCTCGTCTTCAGTTCTTAGAAGGCAGATTGTTTTTCATCATTCCATTCAAATGGTTGTCCTTTGCGTGTCAGCTGGGTAAGAGGTACAACTATTTTTGAAAAGT